TAATAATAAATGTTTCTTTTTCTTTCTTTTCATTAACGTCTTTAAAGTTTAATTAATTTCTTTTTTTGTATCCTTCAGTTTTGAATACTGATTCGATTATAAGATACGAAATTTAAAATCTTACATAGCAGAAGCAGGACAAGGTGCACAGGGAGTACAACATGGAATTGGCGGGCAACGCAAAACTCTCAGTGCTTCGACATTCAAAGAAGAAACACCTCGTAGTAATGCTCGTTGTATCGCACTCTCATATTCCGCATGTTCTTTTATTATACGTTCATTTTCGTTACGAAGTCTTGCTATCTCAGCCTCAAGCTGTTTAATCAAACAGAAATTATATTGAAGCATTCTAATATAACAGTGTGTTTCATCTAAACTCGAAGACAAAAGTAACAAATCGTTTTATTTACTTCGATTTCTCGCCTCAGTGTATCTTTATCTTTCAAAATTGATTGAATAGCTGTGTCCGTACAAATAATTTCAATCTCTTTGGGTTCTTTTATTATTCTTTCAGTTTCTTCTTTCATTACTCTTTCAGAATCTTCTTTTATTACTCTTTCAGAATTTTCTTTTATTACTCTTTCAGAATTTTCTTTTATTACTCTTTCAAAGCCTTCCTTTATTGCTCTTTTATTATTTGTTTCAGATTCTTCTTTCAGTACTTTTTCAGCAACTTCTTCTTTTCTTGCTTCCTCAATAACAGGTCGACTTTCTGGTTGTACCGAAGCCTGAATTATTCTAGTTTCAACAGTCTGAGTAGTTGCTTCTGATTTCTATAATAATATTACAATATAATAAAAATAATGATAATAATAATAAAAAGATTTTCATTGGCAAACTTACCTCTCGTTCTTGGCACTCTGCCAGTAATTTCTTTAGATTGTCGATTTCACAAGCTCGTGCCATCAGTTCTTTACGCAATACTTCAATCTCGTTCTTACAAATGTCCAACTTGTTTTGAACCAAACCAATCCATTGTTGTATCCGACCAAATATATCAGCGAACATCAACTTTTATAAAGATAAATTCAATTTGCATGTATTACCTTATACGTACTTGTATTTGAAGAACTACATTTTCTTTGAAAAAAAAAAAAAAAAGTTACAAATTTATTTGTTTTACGAAATTGGGAGTTTTAAACGACAGTCTCATTCATTCACTTTTATTTATTTGTATATTCAATTCTATAAAGCGATTTTATTTATTGTACGCTCGTTTTCCCAATTTCATGATGATTCTACTTGCGTACAGGGCTCAACCTTTGAATCGTGCTCAAAGTTCTCGCCTAAGCTGGCCAATGCTTTACTGACTTCTTGTAAATTATGATGCACATACTCAATCATTTCATCCACTTTCTTATCCCTGCATTTACAAAATAATGCTTGAAATATTCTAATTAGTTACTGAATTGCTTTTCCAAAAAAAAAAAAAACTCTCTTCTTAAAAAATTGAATGAAAGAAAATAACATGTATACCCAGTTGATTCTGGCACTTGCGACATGCAAGTACAGCATGGTCCAGCTGTACGAATAGATTTTTCATATTCTATTTTCGCAGTAGATGCTGTTTCTACTGTTTCAGTTTGTTCTATAGTTTCTTCCGCTGGTTTCGGTATCTCTTCCCTTTCCTCGGGAGCATCCGCACCTCCTACTAAACGATCTACATTTTTCACAGGTGAATTAAATTTACGGCTTGTTGTAATTAACGATTTTTTAAATTTAAGCACTCTATTTGATGGTTTACGATTTTCATCGATAGCATTTCCTAAAAATAATTTTCTATCGTTACTTATGGTTATAATTATTTATGACAATATCAGGTCTGTGCTTACTGTTTTTGGATGTATTTAATGACGGGTGAAACATTTTTTTAGTTTATGTGTAACATAATGAATGATATAATAATAATAATATAAATTAACTTAGTTAATTTTTACATAAATTTTATAAATTAATTTTGAAAAATTTAATAAATCTGAATAGAAATGTATAAAATGTTATTATAATTTTCATTTGTTTTTGCAATACTAGAAACATTACAAAGTATATCTTTTAAAAATGTATAACGCTTAAAATAAAAATAGATTAAATACAATTAAATACACTATATATATTTTTTTAAATTCTTTTATTTCTTTTATTTCTTTTATTTTAAATATATACATAATGCTAAGATTATGTATATACGTATATATACACATAACCTTAGCATTATATATATATTTAAAATAAAAGATCTTAGGCTTTTTTAGGAGGCGGTCTATAAACTCCAACTACAACAGCATGATCTCTCTCATATGGTTCTAGTGTGATTTGTTCTTGTGGTTTCAATTTGTCAGCAATTAATTTTTTTACTTCCGCGGCAAATACTGCTTCAGGTTGAGCTGTGGAATCTATACAATTCGCCTAAATCAAAAATAATCACCATATAAACTTAAATGGACGTGTAATTTGTGAGAAATGTTTGAATATTTTTTTAAATATTAATTATTCTGTGTCTATATATATATACTTGCCTTAATAGAAATAACAAAGTGACCTCCATTTTTCAAAAAATATTGGGCATTCAGAGCTACTATCCTGGCTTGATCAGGTTGTGCCACATCAGCAAATATTGTATCTACCATTCCCACAAGCATCCTATATTTGTAAGGATGTCTTGCATCTTCAATTACAGGAATAATATTTATTCGTTTTTTAGCAACATTTAGAAGATCTCTACCAGATCTATGAGAAAATTCTACAGCATATACTAGTCCTTCCTACAAAACAAATTTATAATCATATGTTAAAAATAACTTGTAGGTTTAATTATCACTTGTAAATTAGTTACAATGATAAATTATTAATTTTGTACACGCGTTTTTTTGGAGTAAGACATAATATATCCTACTCAGTTAGAAAAACGGGAATGTGATTTATATAGCATAATTCCGACACCAAATTAGCAATAATACACTAAAGTGGCTCTAATGTATGCATTTATACATATATAAAAAAAAAA